AATTTAATTAGTAAAGTCATGCTGACATATAAAATTAAAATTCAAACAAATTAAAATAAATTTATTAGTAATTTATCTTAAATGACTGATTCGGTAATAGTCTTCGGTACCAAATAAAACGATTTCGAAATTCGGAAGCCGATTCGGATGCAGCGTACTATATTTACTTTGGCCCGTCTCGTGCTATTGTAGTATAAAATGTTTATAAAAAATGTAGACAAATTAAAATTAATATTTTTTTAATAAACTTTAATAGCTTAAAGCAATTTTTCAATTAGTTAAAAAAAAAATTTATTATTTATATATCTTATAATTAACTTTCCAAATTTATAATTATTATAAAATTTTTGACTTTTGACTTTACACCTTTGAACAAACTTCAATTAGCAAACAGTTTTTAAATAAAAAAAGAATAAATATTCATATATAAGGGAATTTTTTAATACACTGATCTAGTCTAGATACTACGATACAAAGTCAAGGTCTTCTTTGTTTTTATTTATAACTTTTTTTAATTTATTATAAACATTGTTTAACTTTTTTTATAATGTTTCAACTGTCAACTTTGTTTCAAAAAGTAACTGGTTTTTTACAATCTGCTTAATTTAGTTACACTAAGAACAGAATACTTGATACAGGGTCATTTGTATACATTGTATTGACAGAGATACAGAGTTTGTGTAGAAGTTAAATAACATTTTGGCAAATATTTAAATGCGTAATTTTTACCCTGTAAATAGATTTAATCTGATAGAGTGACGATATTTAAAACAAGTTTTCCTGAAATTATACTCAAAAAAAATAAATAAAATAAAATAAGAATTTCTTTAGGAAATATTAAATAAAATGCAGATACAACAAACTTTTGATTTTAAATTATAACAAAGCATTCGCGCATTCACTATAAACAGTTCCGAAAAGTATCTCAAAATAAGCACAAGCATACGAATTTTATAATCAAATAGAGTGTTTCATATAATAATTGAATAAAAATGCTTAACTTATTTAAAAATTTTTTAATCATTGTATTAACAATTATAAATATAACAAATGCCGCTCAATATTTAAGTGATAAACGTAAGTTTATGTTTTTTATCTACAAAAAAATTTAACATAATTATTCGAAATCTGCAGCTGACTTCTTGAAACCCTGCAATTATGAGGATAAAAGTTTTAGCAAGTGTTTTGCAAATAATTTTCAAGTATTATTCAAAGACTGGAAAGATGGTAATAATAAATTAATGGCTTTAAAATTAAAAAATGTGTACTAAATTGACTATATATTTTTTGAAAAAATGTTCTAAGGCGTTCCTGGTCTGAAAACAGTTGGAAAACTAGATCCCATCATAGTGAAACGTATAAAGATTGTACAAGATCCAAGCAGTGGAATTGCACTGAATGCAATTTTAGATAACGTGGAAATAAGAGGAGCCAGCGATGCTATAGTGGAGGAAGCTGTGTAAGTTCTTTTGGATTAAACTCAGTTAAAAAAAAAAAACAATTTCAACGGAGAGTTATTTTGAACAATAGTGAATTATAACAACACTTTATTTAAACAATAGTTTCTATTAAAAAAAACCTTTTTTCTACAACCATAATTTACTTTAAAAATCAAAAAATAAAAATTAATTATTACATATTATTACATATAAAATAATTAAATATTAAATACACATAACAAGAAAAAATATAAATTTTCAATAACAACAATCTAAGATAATGTTCCAAGCAGATTTAGAGTAAATAGTCATATTGGGTACAAATCCATAAGACATATCCAATAAAGATATCCAATAAATATTTCTTAAATTTGTAAAGGAAAATTTAGTTAGTTGTTTAAATACATAAAAAATAATTTTTGAAATAATATAAATATATATAATATAATCAAATTCAATTATATAATAATATATATATTGAATAATAATATCTTTCATATACAATATATTGACTATTTAATTTGATTATTTATTTTTTTTAAATGGTAAATATTGTTTACCATTTAATATATATTCGTATATATATTATATAATGCTTTAAGTTTTAAAAACTATTAAATATTATTATTTTATAATAATGTTATAAATATTATATATTAAGTATTAAGTATTATATTAATTATTATAGTATGGACATGCAAAAATTGACTGTTGATGTGAAGTTCACGATACCAAAGATCCGTTTTAACTCGAACTATAAAGGCAAAGGTAACATTTTGTCGCTTAATTTTAATGGCAATGGTAAAGCGTTTTTCGAAGCTGGTAAGTTGTTTTTTTTTTGTTTTTTGATTTTATAAAATTCATAATTTTTCCTAATTTTCATTTCTAATTAATAGAAAACTTGTCT